AATCCAACTTAAATCAGTCTGGATCTGATGCTGCTACTAGTTCCAAGGATTTGCAAGAGGGTATGAATGATTATTTAAAAATAATTATTAAACATGTAATGACCAACAAGTGGTAATGCCGTTAGTCTACAAATGTGGACATATATTCAGTTAAAATATGAGGATTATAACTGCACTTGCAAAGCATGGTTATTAATTATAATAAGTGCATGGTTATTAATTTTAATAACAAAATTCGTTGTAATAAGTTCAAGTTTTACATAGGGGCAAATTTTATAGGAAATAAAGCTGAGACAGATGTCAAGCATAATATAGTTCCCAGGCAAGAAGTGATAAACAAATTAAGAGATAGAGGAGAACCGATCTTGTTATTTGGGGAATCAGAAATTGACGCTTGCAAGCGTCTTAGAAAGTGCGAACTTCTTGAGCCTGAAGTCAATAGAGTAAGTCCTGATTCTATCTACATATTATGTTGTACGAATTAAACAGTATAACATAATGTTTGTCTTACTTAGAGAGAACCATTCACACATAAAAATATAAACGTTTTCTTTTTCAGGGATTCAGGAATGATTTGCAAGAGGCCATGGAACAAGTTGATCAAGAATATTTAAATGATTTTCTAAAGTCAAATTCGTCAGGGAATGGCACAAAAACTAAGGGTCACCTGGAAAAGCCCAGCGTTACATATGAAGAGATTTTCGAAATGGCCAAGAAAATGGGACGGGGAAATAGAGAACATGACATGTCCACTATAGTACATTTTATACAGGTAAGTACGATTTTAAAGTAATAACTTGAATTAATTTTATACGCTCGATAATACCACCAAAATAGTAATAACTTATGAGAAAACGTTGCACACAGACGGCCTTGCAAGAAACAATAATATCGAGACATACGTATAGATCCCGGAAAAATTAAGGGAACATAAGGGGGCATAATTCAACGAAAGCTTAACTGTGTATTTTTTAAGTTAATTGTTTTTAAAGACATTACATAACTTTGTTAGAAACATGTGAGTCTCCCATGGGCTCCAATACAGCATTCGTCTTGCCATGCTTCTGATTAGGTCGTCAAGATTTTCAAGAAGGAAATCTTAATAAGAGCAGCTTTTATTTGCTTGATATTTGGAACAACAGGAATTCTGCACTTTATTCGTCGATCTAACATTTCCCGTACAGCTTCGATTGAATTGAGGTCTGGGAACCATTCCAGCCAATCCATGGTTGTTAACCCTATATCATTTAAAAAGATAGAATCGCATAGAACTACGTGAGGTCGTGCGTTGTCATGAATTAGCATTATTCAGCCTTGGAGTTTTATTCTAAGTCCTTTTTTGYCTCCAAACTCTACCTACCAAATGGATACCAAAAACTGCTCTTGAGTCAACGAAACTGAGAAAATAGTAAAAAATGAGTCTCGTTCTCTGCGCGTCGCTTTCACAMCTCCCCTTATGTTTCATATGTGATCCCTATAGTGTTAATCTAGTCWCTAGTATAGTGTTAATTTTTTCTGAATGGAGGTTTTGTTCTATTTTGTGTTGTTTCTCCACTAACAAACTGATGGTAACAACTGAGAAAACTAACAACAGTCAGCAAACTTAGAGCTAGCAGCTTAATCATTACTTTAAATACAATTGTGCACACGAGCCTTCATGAAGGTCGCAAGTTCAAATCCTGCCGAAAGCAGTAAATTTTTCTTATTGCAAAAGTTATTTGTCGGCTTAAACCGCGAAAAATCTCTTCCAATATTTATTGTATATATAATTGTATATATTGTAATATAATATAAATTGGGGTATTTAATAAAACCGCGTTTCAATACTATAAGCTTTATTTGGTTTAATATAAATATTTGAATGTCATCTTAATGAAACTCAACTAGAATAACTGATTTCCATTACTAAATGCTGACAATATTTTATGATTAATTAATTTTATATCTTATTAAGATTATTAGTTAAGGCATATATGGTGGGGGTTGAGGTTTGGACTGTGCAGCTGTCGAGTCTGAAACGACGAAAAGTATTGAGAACTCTATTATTGCGACTATATGAAATGCCATTTAAATTGAACATTTTGATCATGCACACATACAGATGTAACTAAAGAAGGCGCTGAAATCGCTTACTAATTTAAAAAGATTCAAGTAAAAATAATACTTACATCGAGGTGGTGCACCTGGTATTGGTTGGTGGGCTAATGCTGGATCGTGTATAGTATTAACGGTAGACACAGTTAAAACTGGGAAAAACGAAATTAACCGGCCTAAAAATAGACAATATTATATTCTTGAAGTTTATTCGGTTTTCGGGCTTTGTGCTTGTCTTAGCATAAGTATAATTTCTTCTGCAGTTTTGCAAGCAGAAGGACGAATGCCTTGCATTCTTGCACTTTGCGACGGCTACAAAGCCCCAAAATCCAAATACTTTCAAACAAGGGCCTCTAAAGCATAGCTTGCTTTATAAATATCTATTATTATTGTTGAAGTTTCTTGGTGCCCGTGATGATAATTAGTGTTGATGTTGCTCTGTGTTTGGGTTATCTGGGGACTGATCAACCCAAACACAGAAAGCGCCGATGATGGCTTAAATAAAGCCGAAGCGTTGGCCCAAGAAAAATAATCGTTTTTTTTCTGTCACTATGTCTTGACCGATCAACCCAACACTCAGAAAGCAACATCTATCACTATCTATTATTATCTTAATCTACCTATGAACACATATTTTTGCATATTTTTAACTTTAACAGACAACATTTATTTCCTTAGCAATAGCAGTAATAATGAGTTCGTACCTTTACTAATGATTTCATTCCTTAACGCTTTGTAAGCTGCCTGTGAATAAGTTATGAACGAAATTTGCGCAATGATGTAAACCACCATTAGGATTAAACCCATCATTAGCGCCACATCCATGTTTGTTTGAGGACTAAGAATTATTTTAATTTCACCTGAATTGGAGTTATATTGAAAGTTGACGCTTTCAGCTAATCTTACTTTTACTGATAATCTTATCACGAAACGTTATTCGAATAGATAACAAAAAACATAGCCTTGTTCGTTACATAGAAAATTAGTTTAAATATTTTTAAGTCAATTAATATAATTATTTTTTTAAAGAAAACCTTATCATGTGCTTTACTTTTTTGGTGAAACAGGTTTCTAATTAGTGGCACTTTCGTTTTAATATTCCCTTGAAAATATGCTTTGGCGTCTTCCTTCTAGGGGTATGCAGGATTACAGGAAGAAAAGGAATTCTCCCAAATAGCTGAGATATTGGCAATATACTAAATCAGAAATTTAGCAACTATTTATTTGACCGCACATGATAATCAAGTTGTTCTCGTTAACATTCAGTAAATAAAGATGTCTTCATTCGCAAATCGAAAAATACAACAGGTGAAATCAAAAGGTAAATGGAAAAATGAYATTTTTGCTGATGGAAATATAAATTCGTCACCCGGACTCAATCGATTACAGTTAAGAGGAATTTAGAATTTCAAAGCTGAGTTTTCTCATTTGAGCTCTCAAAGCAAGGGTATAAATATGCCACAACGCACAATGCGCAGTTCATCACAGAACTGCACTACTTCACTTTACATAATCGGTTTTAATTGTTCAAATTAATTGTTGAATCTGATATCGCAGCGTGATGTTAAAAGAGAGTTTTATGGGGACAAACAATTGGGAAACCGGTAAAGAAGTCGCCGTTGTTGAAACAATTCCATGATACGGAGTTTCTCCATAGGGTCGAGATTACGGACAATCTGCAACACCTTTAGATGATTTCCCATGCCTGGTGCTGCTTGTTTCTATCAAAGTCACATAGTCTTCACTTTACTGGCGGCTAAGCACGGCTTTACTACGACTATTCCTCAGAGGATGTTGTCTGTGGGTGTTTTGCGAGTATAGGAAAAATAGTAAAAAAACATTAATTATTAGATAGAGAAAAACATTAATTAGAGATATTTGCGAAAAACTTGATCAGAAGAACGGCAACGATGCTTTTCAATGTAATCTGCCTCATTAACATTACGTAAATACATGTTGCTTCTTAATCTTAACAGAAAGCAAAGGTCATATAAATCACTCATCCATATAAATCAAATAACATACAATTAAGTTGTTAAATCATACAAGCTTACTTTTTACTCGTTTAACTCCAAACATGTTTGTGTCCCAATCACTTTATCAGGACAAGGAGTTATCGGGACAATTTTCGGGTGCCTGGAAAAGAGGCAGTTCTTGTTCAATGCTCCACGTTCGCCTCGAAGGTTCTGCTGCAATTACCTCCAAGACCAGTGACTCTAGGTCTGGAATCAGAGCATCCCTATCGTCAACTATCTGCGTCAATTCCTGGAGCCAATCGTCCAGTGTCTAGCCCTTTGCTGGTGTAAGTTCTTACAGCTTCTGCTATGTTACTGTGGCATTTCCCCATAACTAATCGTATATTCGCAAATTCGCTGTACATTGTGTGAAAGGAGCTTCAAAATAAGTCACAAACATGGGACCATTTCAAAATAATACTTAATAACAAAGTTGAAATTAGATTTTCAACTGTTGTCTCTCCAAGTGAGCCTCTATAACCCCTTAAAAGGAATGACGACAATTTTAATCACCTTTGTTGCTTGAAATTGAATTCATTAAGGTGATATGTCAGGTCTGTTAAAAATGCAAAGTCTGCGGAAAATTCTGCATCTGCCATTGGTTTTTCCAGTTCCGTAGTGTTGCAATCGTCTTCATCTTGAAGAAAAATAGGAATGTCCTTGCGTATAGCGAAGAACCGTTGCAAACAGTTTTCGTAGCTTAACGGTGTGAAGTAACAAGTCCCCATATGTAGCATCTACTTCTGCGAAAAAATCACGAAACTTTCTGCGATTTTCACCTCCCCTAATAATATTAGTTATTTTAATAACCACTTTTATGACTTCACCCGGGGACAGTTGACGTTGTTTTGTTTTAAAAGTCCTGCAAATCCAATTTCAGTACCTGTCATACAGGAATATTTATCAAATCTGCCACGCCAAAGTGTTACACCACCTTAAAAGCCGGAGCACATTTATCCGATCCGACTCCGATCAGAGTATTTTCCGTCGATGCCCAACCAATCGGATCGGTGCCGGATCGGAAAGGGGAAAGCACACATGTCATACACGTTTCAGTTTTCGTACCGATATGTGGCTCCGATAGTCATATACAGTTGCCATTCGCAAATCTATGGGCAAGCAATATTGCAACGGAGCTTTGGAAAAATGTTTACAAATTTTCGAGGGTGTGACTTGGCCATGGTGGCACTTTATCTAGACAACAAAGAAAAACGAAGATATTTGAGGGAGGACAAGAGAAAACGCAGATTTTAGGTCCATGCTGCTTGGAAAACAAGACCTCATGAAGGAGAATGTTTCTCACTTTTCTCTCATGTGTCGCGACGAGTCGAAATTTTGTCATTATTTTAGACTGTCTTAGACTTGTGTCGTCGTTTACGTTTAAATGTTCTACTACTTGGTAATGGACATATTGTAACCGGAACAGTATTAATAAAAAGAAAATTAAAATTACCTTCTTGGTTGCCGGACAACATAAGATTTTAGAAATTACAAGCCTGTTCGACTTTAATGTAAATAATTCATAATATATTCAGTTACAGGAAGATATCAAAATAGGAGAATTTGTAGTGCTTAAGCTTATTTATTGCGACGTTTTGGAGCTGGCAAATAATCTTAGATAAAAATGATCTTTTTTGAATGAGTATCAAAATATAGCCGTTCGAATACAAGCTAACCTATTCTCTGCATTGGGAAAGTACATAATATTAATTTGAAGCACGTTGTACTTAGCTAAGTTGTACTATAACTAAAGCGAACTCACATTTGAAAACGTTTTTCGTATCAGAAAACGCAATAACGTCAAATAATGTTGATACAAAGATAACACTTAGTGATTTTATGAAATAAACGACAAGCTGGTTTATTTAGTAAAATTCGCTATTATTATTCTGGGAGATAATTACATTATGTTAACTGGATTATCTCATAACTCCCACAGGACTTAAAATCTATACGTCTCCAAGGGCTGGGCTAAAATACAAGAGTTATCATATAAGTATGAGGTAACAAAATTGGATAATATTGGAAGTACTTAAAACATGGAATTGACTTAATTAATTACGTGTTGGAAATACATGCAATCGTGAGATAGACATAAATATGTACTTACTTAAATCAAAATTACTAGGATGTATACCGTACATTTTCTTATAATGCCAGCGGTTTTTGTCTTCTACAAACCCGTAGCCTGCAATTATTGTTAATGTTATTTTACCACAGTTAATTTAATCAACATTATTGTTTACCTTTGTTTAATTTTCCATAAACGATTCGTAGCTTAAACGCATATATCACATACTGAAATATAACTATAATATTAGCTATGGAAAAAAATATACATAATATTTCCCCGACATAATCAGAGTCAGTGCTATTTGACATGTTTTCGGTGAGGTTAAATAAAATATGAATGATATATTGTATGTAGAATATTCGATTGATACGGTTAAGGACTGGATTATCTTATATGCTTCACTCGGATATCAAACACTTAAGGTTTAATTAGTTAAAAAAAAATAGGAACTTTTAGTACAGTCGACGACACATAAAAGTAGACGATTAAATATTTGTTGTGTAAATCTGACTTTCAACCTCAATCTACCTTCGCGTAAGTGACTAATACTGACAATAAATTTATCTATTATCTAAATAACACATTCAAAACTTTTTGTAAAATCTGTTACATTTCCTTTACGATCTTTGCTTCAAATTACGAAAGTTTTTGATATTAAAAAGTTCTCTTCTACAATTTTTTGATGAAAAGTCAAAGCGGCAATTATGTTTTGTCATTAACAGATAGTTACAGATAGGTAGCCTTTGCCAATAATAACAATTACTTTAACGCTTCTTTCACGAATTTGCGGATATTCGATTAGTTCTGGGGAAATGTCACAGTTAGCAGAAGATGTAAGAATTCACACCAACAAAGGTCGAGGAGAGCGGTTCCAGAAAGATAGTGCACGACAATTGATGTTCGGGTTCCAGAGACAGAAGAACTAGAATTGGGCATAATTGCAGCAGAGCCTTCCAGGGGCACTCAGAGCATTGCGCAACAACTGACACTTTTCCAGGCACCAAATAAGTACCGAGGAAGGGCTACATTCCTACCACGTTTGTAAGATAAGCAGAGCACAAGGACACATTAAACCAACCGCTTACTGAACACCGGTACTAATTGTGCAGGAGTTAACTAACCGCATACGAGAAGTTGCTAGAGAAGAGTGCATCATAACGTCCACAGGCACTTGTTTAAAGTAGACCTGAGAAGTTTAGTTCACCTTGCTGATTTCCATCTTTCAATCTCGGTCAGCAAAGTGAATAGTACAAGAGATTAGTTCGTTTAGTTCATTCAGTTCAGTAGGTTAATTTTCATCATTGAATGAAAATATTATAAATAAACGGTCAATTTAACTTTATTTATAGTTCCAAGGCCTTATAATTGACATGTTTTATACCATGTGTTCTATTGCTCGTACCCGGGATTTATTGTCCATATATTTGTCTTTGTGTTATTGGTCATATTGGTCTTGTTTGTCTTATTCTCTGAGATTTTCTATATAAACATGTGCGAGTGAGACTTTTTTGAGCAGTCATCTTTGTCATATTGTTTTGGCGACCATTCAAAACCTCCAGAAATTTTTTTCCGCTTTCGCATGTTCCTAATATAGAATCAGGGCCCAAATCAGTTAGAATCAATTAAATCGCGTGCATTGTCTCTTGATATTATGTTTCTTTATGAAATAAACGAAGAAAGAACGTATATAATATAAGAGACTATACGAACAACAAGGATCATCTATTTTCATCGCCAGCTATGAACTGCAAAGTCGGTAACTCCAACTGAAAGAAGCTGCGTGGAAGTAAAGGCAAGCGCTATTGGTTCAATTACTTCAATCGGCGTCATCGGTCTCGTTCCCAAGTCTAGTTCTATTTCAAGTGTGAGATGAAATGCCATGTTCTGTTTAGTTCTTACTGATTCGCTCTTTCAATTTGAACTAGTTCGTTCGCTTCTTTTGAACTAGTTCGTTCGCGAACGACACAGCACTAGTTTTGAAGCACGACTCAAATGTATGTTTTTGTAGTTTGTAAACAAATTAATAATTCGAGGTTATGAGGGCAATAATTGTAGGATTCGTCATTCAACGATTCCTGTTGAATTTACTATTTATCCTTGTCTATCTTATTGTCACTCTATATAATTCCGTGGTTACCGGAGTTTTTAATAATTACGAAGCAACAGGTTTTAATGTAATGTTAATTAGGCAGATTACCTTGAAAAACGTTGTTACCGTCTTTCTAATTTAGTTTTTTTGCAAATTTTTCAGTTTTTTATAACAATTATTTTTTTACTGTTTTTTCTGTACTCCTAAAACACCGTCAGACAACACCTCCACAGGAATGACGCCCATTTTGAATCACCCTGTATGTTTATTAAATTGAGTCTTTTTTCAATAAGTACATAGTATTTTAGTACATATTCGAAAGAAGCTGAAATAAAACTTCGGAATAATCAAATTTACTATTTATTATATTTTAATTGCAATATCGATATTTCTACTTTAGCTTGAATATTTTTTACAATAACCTGCAATATCTGCAAAAAAAAATAACAGTTACTATAACCTAGATATATTTTCCATTATGTGAAGCCAGTATTTAAGTAATACTGATATTATTATTCATTGTTAAACATTATTTAATTTAGAACTAAAGATGGGTTGATAATCCTTGCAGTTCCATCGCCTAAACAAAACAATAAAAGTTAGATTAATGGCGATTATAAACATTATATGAAGATTAAGGCTTATTTCATTGAGTTTCTTTTAGTAAAATGGTATCAAGAACATATATTGATTTAATATATTTTGCAAGCACGAGTGGCTAACAACTTCATTTTTAACTAAGCTTCGATGCATATGCCATCTCTGAAGATCTAACACGGCTAATAACCCAAAAAAGTCACCAGTATATAAATATGTACTGGTGATAATCATTCATAAAACCTATGAAGTTCTTTTATTCAGGCTCTACCAAATTAAGTATGCACCATTGGTGGTTATTAGTGGAGATACAGTCTCGGTTTAATTGACAAAGAGTTGTATTTTTAGACTGCTTGTGATGATACTAAAAAACAATTGAGCATGGCATTGTAAAGATAATTTAAAAAAATACCCAGTGTGTTCCAGACGTGCAACCGTAGTTACACTTTGCCAATTTAACCGATTATTTTTGATCCGTCTCATAAGACCGAAAAAGTGGTTTGCAGTTGCTGCAGTTTCAGTGACCATTTGTCAATGGAAAATATGTTTAGTTGGGCGTTGCGTTGATGATTGTATTTATCACCTTTCGTCTATAAGAATTACTATTCAGTTATCTAGGAACCATAATCGATCAGATCCGCAAAATATTGTTTAGTTGCAGTGATAGATGCAGCATTTCTAGTCTATAAGTATTACTGTTAATGTGGATTATTTAATGTTATTGTTGACTTAATAACGGGGAAATAATTCAAATGCTTTTACAAAAACTGTGGTGCCATCAATTAGAGTTGTTAAAAGTTAAAAGATAGACACGAAGAATTCTTCTTCGTAAAATCGTAAAATTTTTCAAGATTTTAATAAACATTCATAGCAAAAAAACACAGGTATATTAGTGCTTCTATTCCATGCGTGATATTATTGTCCAAAGCGGGCGCTATCATAATCGAGCAAAGAACTACACTTAGTAAAAATTATACACAAAAAAATGTTCTTAAATGTTAATATTTATTTTTAAATTTTAAATGTCGATTTTATTATCAGTTTTGTTTCTTTAGTAGTTGCTTATGATCCATGTTTTGTTTTTAGAATATATTATTTTTAGTTTACCAATGCTAAGAATTATTTTTTTAATAAACTAAATCATTATTTATCATCACTATTTCTACCATTAGAAGAACGGAAAATTTAAAAAGTAACATGTTACTTTTGGAATCGCATTTTGGAACATAAGTTACAGTGAAACTGCAACAACTGCATACAACTGTTGTAACCTGTTCGAGAAAAATAACAACACTTTTTACAGAACGGAAAGGAAAAGTTACTATTGTAAATGAAGAAAAACCGAAAATAACGTTCTGGCAGATTTTGAAGCTTTTACCAAGAAATCTGTGAGTGATTTAAGTAGAGAAAGCGGCCTTTCCTTATTTACAAGCCACGTTTTTTTATAGCTGTAACGGTAGAGTGCGTTTGAATTCATTATTGTATCGGCAACACCGCCCTTGTCATTATGTTCGTCCATCTTGGACAATGAATAGTGAGTAGAGAGTTCCAAATGTGTGTTGAAACGGTGAAGTCCGAATAAAAGCTTAATAAAGTGAAACGCAGTACTGAAAACACCATTAGTATTCCTCGGTGACGAACCCACGAACCGAATGAGAGCATGCAAACGCAGGCTCCCATTATATAGCTTTAATCTCCGCTAATAACTTGTTACTAATGGTGCGCACTTAATTGTCACACCCTGTATATTATCCTTTTATAAATCGTCAAATAAATTCGGAGTAGGTGCGATACCTTTTCAAAATAATGTTGTTCTTATTTAATAAATCCAGTTAATTGACATTTCATTTTATTGCATCTTAATTGTAGTGTTTGCATAAAAAGTATGAATTAAATTTAGTTATAAATATTCACTTACTAAAGTCGATATTATTTGCATGGACGGGGCGTAGGTAGTTTCGTCTCCACACTAAATTATTTTCAATGAAGTAATATCCTGAAATAATAGTAACTGTGTAACTATAATAGTATTAAATGCTTCTCAAAGTAAAAAAAAAATATATTAAACAGATATCCATCAGATATTCAGGGTGTCCCGATAAGGGTAAAGAGCGGCTGTATCTCGACAACGATAAGGACTAGCGGTTTCAGGAAAAAATCCTTATAAATAAAGTGGGTATAAAAAATGGCTAGAAAATGTATTGAAGTTCGTAGCTTGATCTCTAGGGGCGTAACTTCTACCACAAAGCAAAAAAGTCTTGGTATCTCGGGAAAGGGGGAAATGAGCTATAGTTTTAAAAACGTCATTTGAGAGCTTGGATAATACCGTCTGTTTCCCAGCGCTTTCGCCAGATCTTACTTGCTTGGATTTATATTTATGGGATATATTAAAAGACCTGGTTTTCGAAGAGAAACCCACAACCAGGGAAAATATGATAGGAAGCATTCAAAATGCCATTAGAACCTTGTCCAGGGCTGAGATTGAAGCAGCCGTTTTTTCTACGGATGTTAGAATAAATAAATGCATTGAAAATGATGGAAGACAATTTGAACATCTGCGAGATGTTTTGGCTTGACTTTGCGTGGGTAATTCTAAGACTTTTTGAACTTTTACTGTTTCATTGTTATTATTTGTGCCATACGCTCAGCGCTGCATCTATGGGGGAGGGGGGGCTATGGGGCTATAGCCTTTCTTTTTAGAAAAGGGCCTCTGTCGGGATCGTAGCCCCGGGCCCTTCCACAGGTTAATCCGGCCCTGAGTACGCTTCAAAACTAGTTGTTTTGAACTGTTTCAACAAAATGTTTCAAAAATGTACATTTTAAATAAATAATTTACATTTTCTTCTTTAAATCGAGAACGACTGGATATATAACGATGTTGTTTTCACTGAACTGTAGGTAATTTCAAATTGTGTAAGGGCATGTCAAATGAAGAGTATCGTTCCACCTAACTATTTTCCTAAAACCACAAAAATTTGTAATCGCTGTAGAAATCCACGAAAAAGTGGATTTGTTCTGGACTAAACGATTTAACTAAAATGACCTTTTGAAAGATATTAAAATTATCTTTCAAACTAGTCCAAAAATAGTGGAATCGGTTAAGTACAGGGGATATTAAAATGTAAATATTGAAAACTGCATTGGCCTCCCCGTCTTTTACTACGAAAGATATAAAAAATTCTTAAAGAGATAAACGAGACGGTATTATCGAAGCTCTCAAATGGCGTTTTTAAACTTATAACACCTCTCCCCTTTTTCCGAGATACCAAGACTTTTTTGTTTTGTGGTAGAAATTACGTCCCTAGCGGTCAAGGTACGAACTTCAATACATTTTCCAGCTATTTTGTATGCCAATTTTACTTATAATTTATATAAAAGGATTTTTTTCCCGAAACTGCTAGTCCTTTCCGTTGTCGAGATACAGCCGATCTTTACCCTTATCGGGACACCATGTAGTTCATTTATTAGGTAATATAATAGAAATCATACCGCCTGATATCTTTGTATTATCTCAAAAAGTTGCTGTCTGATGACGTTCTCAAATAATATTTAAGCCATGCTACTCACCTTCATCTAGCAGTTTTCGATATTTCCTTCTGTTCTTTTCGAAGATAACGATCTGAACCACAAAAATAAATGAGAAAATCAGAAAAGCAGCGACAATAATTACTCCCCCGGGCTGCATTTTGGCTTTAATTTCTTTTAGCAATTAAATGCGTGATAACAAAAGCGTTATATCTTATCTGGATAATAGTGGCGTAAATGAACTTCGCGTATCTTTATTAGGATGAAAGAGATGATTTGTGACTACTTTTAATAATATTTTATTTCGCGAGTTTTGTACTGCTATTGTATATGTCATGTTATGAGAAAATACACGGTCGATACATTGACATCGATATGGAATTAAATATCGTTAATGCCAATAATCTACTTATCCATGATAAGAAAAAGTGATATTTACACAATTTTGTGCAATACATGTGTATTGAAAAACAATTTTTGTGTGTATTTTTATTGATTAAAAGTAAAAAGTTATTAAAAGAAAGGCCATCAAAGTATTATACAGGGTTACCCATTTTATGCTTGGGAAAGTAAAGTAAAAAAACACACAAACTATTCAAGTTTTCAAACTGTTAAATATCTTTATATATTAAACCTTTCCATTATACGTGAAAAACAATCAGACCTGTATCACTCACGTTAACTTTAACGTGCATGTTATCCGTCAAACACGTTATGTGGCTCCAACTGGTGTGTTGTATCAGTGAAACTTATTAAACAAAACGAAAATATGTCTTTTGGTGGTCTTATAAGGTTAGCTTTATTAGAACAATTAGTAAACGGTCTTAAAAATAAACTTTATTTTCCTCCACAAACTCTACCAAGTTTTCAAATTGTTTGCGGGTTGTTTTTTTCGCCTCTATTGTACATGCTCCATTGAAAGTGTTTGAGAAGATGAGTCAAGAACAATAACGAACGAAATTGAAAGTGATTGCAAATCATAAACAAAGACAAGTATGGTAGTAGGTGGGCCAAATGGTCAAAACGTGCACATGTGGTCCATATTTTTAGAAGCTTTGATGGTTTGATGTTAACTCTCTCTCTAATTAATAGACTATTCGTATAAGGGCATCTCACTTTATGCATCCAATATTTTTTTCCTTTTTAACGTTTGTTGGATAACTGGGTCGGAAAAGCATACGTTAACTCGGAGATAGAGCACACGTCGGTTGTGTTGCTGCGTTATCGAAAATGTTATCCTGAACTGTTAAGTTGCCATAACGTATGGCTGTTAAAAATGGCATTTATGATACAGCACAGGGCTGAATATATAATTTAAATGTCCTCCACGGGACCTCCTACAAGCCTCAATCCTTTTGAGGTAATTTTGAATGACTTCGGCACATTAGTGATATTTTCAGCTGGACGAATGTTGCGATGATGCACAGGCCTTGGATAACCCGTTATAACTAACTTTCATTTCATGTCTAACAGTTATGTGGTGCAAACCACTTTTTTGGTTTTATGAGACGGTTCCAAAAACAACCGGTTAAATTCGCAAAGTGTATCTGCGGGTTCAGGTTACACATCTGGAACTCTTATTTTAGCGGTTACGTTAAATACCGACCATCCCCAGCGAACACTGCTAATATTGATTTTGTTTTAATCGGGAGTTTATAATAATTTAAACGAGATCCAATTTTTTTATGTTTTTATTATATTAAGACGGTAATGAACATAGTAACACTTGGAGAGCACGAGAAAATTAGAATTTTTTTCGAAAATTTCTAGAAGATAGTAACACTTGAAATTCTACTTTCAACTTTTACGTTACTAAGTATTATTTTGAAATGGTCTCATGTTTGATATACAAAATAAACAAAAAAAGTGTAAGCAAAATGTTTAGCTTGTATTTGACACTATGATGGTATGACGAATGATAATATTTTTGTTTCATAATTATGTGTATTCTACATTTTAGCTTTTACTCTTTAAATGGGATGACCAGTTACATAACAGATCACAAGAAATTAAGATGGCGACGAAAGGAAAATTGCAAGGAGCTACCTACGCACAGACACAAGTTTATCTGAAGCCGCTTTTGAGGAAATTGAAGAACTTCAGTCTTCCAGAAGATATTTCGGATAGTTTGACTGAAATTGTGGTGCATTTACTGAATCGGAACTATTTAAAGGTATGTAAGTGCATTTTGGATAATACATGTTCAATTTTCATGTGGTTAATCCATACCAGGACTTTAGTCCATCCAATCCAGTCCAAGATTAGTGTTAACATATAGATACCCTAAAATCGCTATTTAATTGCGATTTAAATATTGGAGCTAAATGTTGATAATATTTTAGGCTAGTGATGCCTATCTTCAGATGGCGATAGGAAATGCACCATGGCCAATTGGTGTTACCATGGTGGGTATTCATGCGAGAACGGGAAGAGAAAAGATCTTCTCTAAGAACGTAGCTCACGTAATGAACGACGAAACACAAAGAAAATATATACAAGCTTTAAAGAGATTGATGACAAAATGTCAAGAGTATTATCCAACAGATCCGTCCCGGTGTGTAGAGTACCAACCGCCAAGCGCGGAAGAAGGGGGATCCGAATTATAAGACGTGAGACAAATATTATTTTAATTGAAAGGGTATGTGGTACTTCTGCGACTGCTGCGCTAGTCGTGCAGCTGTTGAAAATTGATGATTTTTTATTAAGAAAGAAAATAAAGATTGAGGTGTTTTATTTGCATTCGATAGTGTTTGAACCTGGATAAACCAAACATTATAATAAATTATCAAGCAAAAAATATTTGCTAAATTGGGTTATACGGGGCGATTCGTCTGGTAGGGTTAAATTTGCACTTAAAAGGATTTCAACGTTTGGAAAAAGTATGTTTAAATACCAATAACTTTATTTTTAGAAGTTCGAATTTGGTACAGATCGTATCAGTTCGGTAACATAATATGATATGCGCTCCTTTCTTCCTCACAGTTGTATTTATACAATAATGTTATACATTTTATGAATGTCTGATGAAATTGTGAAAATATATTAAAAGTTCACTAAATTTGTTGTGAGAAAAACTCATTTTACTTATATGTTTATTTACAGCTTATTTTATTTAGGGACCAGCTAGGTAAAACAGCATTATATTACTTACACAACTAAGTACCGAGTTATCACTACCACCCAAACTAAACCCAAGTTGGGGTATCACCCAACTAACCCAAACCAAATAAATAATGTCTACATTTTCGATCATATGACTAGGCATTTTTTCTGATGTTAAAAATAAAATAATCCGTACTAATAATCGCTATACAAACATTTGTTTGGCTATTATTATCATGCATCATCAGATATTGTCATTATTTGGCTTGCTTTCCTAATTCTACTGCTTTCAAGGCTGCTGCTTCTACTGCATCCATGACTGCGCCTCTGGGAAAATTAATCGACATTACTATAATTACTTATCAGGGTATTCCGAAATTGTCAACAATGATGGGACGAAAAGAAGACCTGAAAGTAAGGCCAGTAGTTTTCCGAAAAATTCGGAAAAGTTTCCGAACGGCTTTCTTATGAGTTATGGGCTTTCAAAGTGAAAATTTAAAACAGAAAATTATTCTTAATTATTACACCGTTTATTTCACGTGCGTGAAGTTTTTGTAGCGGAAGTAGCTGATTGATGCTCGTCTTTTTGAATTGTAAATTTATCCGAAATCTTGTTATTGTACAGGTACGGTCCAAATTAACTTTTATAATTAGTACAAATTTAACGATGTTTAATTTTGAGGATATGATCAAGCAGTTCAAAAAGGTATACCATGTTTTTCTCGATATCTCTTACGGCTTTTGAGATAAACCACTTTTTACTAACATAACTAAGTAAATCAGACTATGAAGGCTTTCACGGCCGGTTAAATCACATTTAGGAATGTTTTCCGGGCTTTGAAGCCGTGGTCTATGGGAATTTCTTCCTGACGTTTCGTCCACAACTGCGGTGGACATTACCAAAGGCGATGAGGCAGTGGGCGAAGTGACCTCCCGTGCTTTCCGACTAAGACTGGTTCATAGAATAAGGCTTATTAGTCCAGCCCAGCCGTGTTTGCGGATGGGTGGGGGTTCAAATGCTTCGGCGCACACGCTGTTTGGCGCAAAACGCGCTTCCAATCTGGATTGAGTGCCGTAATTTCTTCTTTTCTGTTAAAGTTGTTTTGGTGTTTAAATATTTCGATGGCCTCTCTGGTGAGTCTCGGGTAGTATCTTTCAGATTGGTGCAGAATGTCCACTTCGTC